GAGGCGGAGGCTCTGGCGCGTCCCTCACCTCAGCCTCTGCCTGAGCCGGGGGCAGGCCCGGCGGGCGGCCGGGGTGGCTGGAGTGGGGTCCGCTGCCCGAGGATGGGAATTCTCTTCACCAGGATATGGAGACTGTTCAATCACCAGGAGCACAAAGTTATCATTGTTGGGCTGGATAATGCAGGGAAAACTACTATTCTTTACCAATTTTCTATGAATGAAGTTGTGCATACATCTCCTACAATAGGAAGTAATGTAGAAGAGATAGTGGTTAATAATACGCGTTTCCTAATGTGGGATATTGGTGGCCAAGAATCTCTTCGTTCTTCCTGGAACACTTACTATACGAACACTGAGTTTGTAATAGTTGTTGTGGACAGTACAGACAGAGAAAGGATTTCTGTCACTAGAGAAGAACTCTATAAAATGTTAGCACATGAGGACCTAAGGAAAGCTGGATTGCTGATTTTTGCTAATAAACAAGATGTTAAAGAATGCATGACTGTAGCAGAAATCTCCCAGTTTTTGAAGCTCACTTCTATTAAGGATCACCAGTGGCACATCCAGGCATGCTGCGCTCTTACTGGCGAGGGACTGTGCCAAGGACTTGAGTGGATGATGTCACGACTTAAGATTAGATGATCTCTACTGACCTCGTCTTATATGGACTTTGTGTAAACGAAGTGCTGGACTTTACCTGAAAGCTGCAAAAATTAATGGTTTAGATATATTTATAATAAACGGATTCAAACTTTTTCTATAAGAAGAAAAACTAAGACCACTTATTTGGGGGAGGAAAAAAAAGACGACAAAGTCTCACCTTTCAATTTGCTTTTTCATTAGTTCTTCCAAAGTAAGGTCTTCAAGCTGTGATTGACTTTTTTCCCCTCATAATCAATCCTCTCAGGACCTTGGGTAGCCTCTGGTAAGTACAAAGGAGAGGAAGACATTTTTAACTTTGAGAACTATGTTTTCAATACCACCCTCCCTAGTTGATCGCTGTTCTCTTGTTCCATTAAGTCGAAGTACAAATCAGCACAGATACTGTTTCCGATATTTTAAAATGTAATGTTGCTTTTGGAAAGTATTTTACATAAGGTTGTGTGTTTTGTGTATATACCTCAAGTTCAAGTTAATAGCATTGACTTATGTTCTAAAGAATTTTTGTGAATAACAAAAAATGATAACATCTTTAATCATAACCATAATAACATGCGTGTTGACATTGGTGTTGTGTCATTTTGTACTTCTCCCCTTATGTTCATTGTGTTATACTGACCAATCTCCAGAATCATTGAGCTCCTTTGAAAGGAAATAGAAAAAGTAGTGGAAGACAGCTTGAAATTGTGTACATGTTTTCTTGTTGATCAAATAGTGAATAGAAACATGCTGTACAGCTGAGTGAATATAGATCGAATGTATTAAATCCCAATGGGCAGAATTACAATGATCAAATTATTGCTTTTATTGGTTCATCGTCACTTAGGTTATTGAATAAACTTAACCCATTAAAAAAAAATCCATGATCAGAATAATGGGGTGGGTAACTATTGTCAGGTGCATGGAGTCAGGTCTAACCCCTAGTGCTCCTATGCACAACAGCATGAAACACTGCATGGTGGTAACTAAAATTCTGAGCACTTGATTTGCAGAAGTCTATGGAAGACAGTGAAAGCCCAAAATTCATTTATGGAACTCCCGCATGCATTTAGCTTCTATTGAATTCCATAGGCTCACTGACCAAAGATATGAATAGTCTTGCACACAGACAGGGTGCATTGGAAAGTGGATTACTGCAGATAAGAGTTCAGTTACCATTTTAAAACCCTGCCATTTGTTTCCTCTTTTGACTCATTTAAAAATATTTCTACTTTTTATTATTTTTGCTTTATTTAGGGTTGAGGTTTTCCTGTGCTTTATTTTGCTGCAGTTAATATCTTTTTGTATCATTTTCTTTATATTAAATTAGGATAGGTTAAATATAGAGAGACAGTAACTAGATTAATAGTTCCTTAGGGCAGGTTTTGGTGATGAATGCATAACTCTTTTTTAAACACCTTTTAATATATTTAAACCATTAAATTGTATGGTATGCAAATTATATGTCAATAAAACCTTACAACTTTTAAATTGTCAATCTCTTATTTTCTTTGGAAATCAACATTTTCTCTTATAATCTAATATTAGAGCATCACATCTACTATATCCTTGTGCCTTACTCAAAATTACAACATGAGTGCTGGATTTTTAATATTTGTATTTATCAACTGTATCCTGAGATGTCACAATAGGCATTCTAGATCACTACCAACTTTCTTAATAAGTGTACCCACTTCTCATCCCCACTTTGTCCCTAGAATAAGGTGACAATAAACAGGTCAATTGTTCTACTTTAGTATATATTCCACAGGTGATGAGGAAAATTTTCTTTTCTCGACTTAAAAAGGAGAAGATTACTTTCCCTTTCTGAAAGAATGTCATTGGAAACTTAATCGGCCTGAAGTTTACACCTACATTTTGGGTATGGAAGGATATAAGATCTTTTCAGGAGCCATATAGCACCATATATCTTAGATTTTAGGACTTAGAAATGTTTCCAAGTTCTCATTCCTCCCGGAAATGTGAAATGTTAGTATCTAAAGACAGAGATGCTCCAGGCTTTCTTGTAATTGAGGAACTTAATCTAGGTGCCTAACCTGGCTTGTAAACCTTTAGCCCTCTGGGAGAAGTGAGATATTTTATTATCTTTTCAGATAACAGCAACTAAACAAATGGACACGGATCTAATTCTCATGATATGTGAAGAGTAAAATATCTCTCTTTTTTCTCAACAGTTTTACTGGCAAATAATTTACATATAATAGAATTTAACAGTTCAATCAGGCAAACATATCAATGGGGAGTTAAATATTTGTTGAGGCAAAAGCCATTGTTATTTATGTTACATGCATTTCCCTGTCTCAGAAGGTTAGGGCTTGGTTGTTATATTTCCTTAAAGACACATTTAGCTACAGTCTTATTTTTTATCTACTTGGACCCAATATTTATTGAGAACTATGTATTGTTAAAATTAAATTTTAGACCGATGGACTAGCTCAGGGCTTCTGATCTTGAATGAACACATGAAATAACCTTGGGAATTTTGTTAAAATGAAGACAAATATATTCTGGCTTAGCAGGTCTATGGTGAGTCCCAACATTCTGTTTTTCTAATAAGCACTCCATTGATGCCAAAGCTGTTGGTCTTCAGATCACACTTGGCATAGTAAGGCTGCAGTCAGCCTCGCTACATAAAGAGTTGTATTATGGCTGTGAAATCTCTGAGCTGAAAACTGAAAACAAAACCACAACCAGAATGAAATCACTCATCTCTATATTTTCCTGGCTAGGAAACAAGGAGCAAGAATAAGTTGTGTAACTGTAAAAAGTCTAATTGACAAAAATTGTGTCATATATATATTTATAACAATGGCCCAAAAGAGTAACTGCTGAGGCTGCTTGTATATATCAAAAAAACCTCATGGGATTTTATTTCATAGGTTAGAGGTTCAGTGCCATGGTTTCATGGGATATCCCAATTAATTGGCTTAATAACATGTGTACTCCCTTTGTTCTACCTAGTAGTTCGATGTGTTGTATCTGGGCTTTTAAAACTATACAAACACCCTCAAAAGCAGAGCAATTGGTTTATATTCTCCTGGAGCAACATAGAAAGGAGAATTAGCAATAGGAAGAGTGTATGAAATGTGTGTGGCTAATTACCTCCATGAACCTAGAAGAACTGAATGATGCTTGCTTATTTTACTGAATATTTTGATCAAAGATTTCACATTGAACTACTAGGTAGAACAAAGGGACTACACATGTTATTAAGCCAATTAATTGGGATATCCCATGAAACCATGGCACTGAACCTCTAACCTATGAAATAAAATCCCATGATCAGAAGAATCCTGATCAAAAAGTGGAAAATATAGAAAGTTTCCTAATTTTCATGGACTCTAGACTTTCAGAGCCATGGAGAGTGAACTCCTGACACTTTGAGATAATCTTTAAAATTTAAACCAAAATTATTTTCCAAAATCTCCTTAAAACCAAACAATAGCTCAGATTACTAGTAAATAATGTCTTCTTTGAGAATTATGCTCTTTTAAGTCCTCTCTACAGGGGATCACATTGACAATAACAACTCAAAAGAATAGAAGCTTTAGGGAGATGTAAATTTATGTTAAAGGACAAGGAATAACCCCAGAAAAGGAGGGTCACAGTGAATATATAACTCAAAGAATATAATCAATATCATGAAATAATACATGTAGAAACATGAATCGGTGTATGCTTTGCTGTGTATATTCTTAACAACAACATACAATAAATAAATTATATTAAAAATCAAGTGTTGGGAAAAAGGTGCCAGTTGGTAAAATGGAAGAGCGGTGATGGAGAAGATACAGCGGATTTAAAAGGAGCCTCACTGCAGATGTGTAATGCAGTGGCAGGGGATAAGAAGGGGCCAAGTAAACAAGAGTAAATGAGAGAAGGGAGAACACAGAAAACATTAATGTCATCTGACATAGTTGGTCTTTGTTTCATTGAGTTAATGGACTACCAAATGCTACCTTTGCTGGACTTCTGAAGAATGTGAGCCCCTCAAAATTTCTTGTACTCAATATATTTTTTTAAATGAGGGAGGTGGAAGATACCCTGATAATTGGAAAGACATTGGCTCAGCCTATGCATAGTCTGAATATCAATTATTTCCTTTTATGATTGTTTTGGATGTCCACTGTTGCTATACTACATTTGAGAAATTCTCTCTCAAGGAATGTCATAAAAGAAAAATATTGCAGAAATCAGAATACATACAATTATAAAGAAGCCCGTCCTACACAAAAATATATTTAATTTTCTTGTAAGTTTGCTTGTACTACAATAATTCCCAGCATTTGCCCTGTCAAAGCCTATTCACAATTGTATTTATTTTTTAGTTAGTACAGACTGTTTCAGCAGTATTTTCAGAAAGAGAAAAGATGATACTGAGTAAAGATGATAAAGTATCCATGAGCAAGATTTTCTACTTCTGGACTTTGTTGTTTGGGAAAGAAAGGAAAGTGTCCTGCCAAGGTCTTTCACAAGCTGTTTCTCAAGCAACAGTGAAAGTCAGAGCATCTACCTGCCATATGCTCTGCTTGTAAACGAATATGCTGAAGCAAACTATTTAAGTGAGTAGCTTGGCAGGCATCAACATTTACAGGGCTCATGAGTTTCTGGTCTAATGACACAACCAAAAAAGAAAAATACAACAAATGAAAAAGTGGCATATTTTTAGTCTGTGCACTGAACTAGAGAAAAGATACTTTCATTTCTCAACTTTAAAAATGTTTTACAATGGCTCTGTTTCTAAGAGACCACAAAGTTATTTCAAAAGTAAGTTATCATTTCGACAGGTAAGAAATTAATTTGTCTGCAACTAAACCACATATGTGGTTGCCATTAATTGAAAAACTATACAGAAATACAACTCAAGACTACCACTTACAGTCTAAAATATACATGCTGCTTTACTTTAAAAAATAATTTTCCCAGTAATATTATTTATAATCTGATGTCATCTATGTGATCTTTTGTCTTATGTGAGCTGTATTTTGAGTGCATTCATGATAGCAAAAAATAAATGCAAAATAACAGTGAATACTATTTAAATGAATCTTAAATCTTATTAAAAATGTCATTTGTGTATCTCTCCCACAGGAGCAATAAAAACTTAATTTAGTCTAAATTATTTTGACCTTCTCTAGTAGCTTCTGAATTGCTTAAACCTGTAGAAATGTTTAGAACATTATACTTTAATGACTTAAACAACTCTATATCTGACCCTACACAGGAAGAATAGATTTGGAAATTTCTTATAAGATGTTTTTAGTGTTCCATATAATGGCACACAAAAGACTTCTCAATCAATATCTATATAATAATTCTGGATTATTGTAACAGTGGCCTGCTTACTGCTGTTTCACCAAAGGTATGTAAATTCTGTCTCTTAATAATTCTTACATAGAAAATTTCAAGCCCCTCATTCCTATGAGGATGTTGATCACTTCAAAAGATAATGAAGCCACCTTGAAATTTTGAAATTTAGTTCAAACTTGTTAATATTCTATATCCACTTTAAGGACTGAAGACGTGTAAAGTAAATTTGGTAAATGACCAATATAATTTTGGG